AAAAGTTAACTTAATTTCATAATGTATATAGCTATGCAAAGGTGGAGAAGATTCCTGGTGGCGCTATTGAAGATTCCTGTGTGCTGAAAGGTGTTATGCTCAACAAGGACGTAACACATCCCAAAATGCGYCGGTACATTGAGAATCCACGCATCGTACTGCTGGATTGCTCACTTGAATACAAAAAGGGCGAGAGCCAAACCAATGTTGAAATCATTGGCGAGCAGGACTTTACTCGCATGCTGCAAATCGAAGAAGAGTTTGTGCAGCGCGTCTGTGCTGATATTATTGCCGTAAAACCGGATCTGGTATTCACTGAAAAGGGTGTCTCTGATCTGGCACAGCATTATCTGCTTAAGGCGGGCATCACTGCCATTCGACGTCTACGCAAGACGGACAATTTGCGCATTGCTCGCGCCTGCGGTGCTACCATTGTGAACCGTACTGAGGAGCTGACAGAGAAGGATGTGGGCACTGGTGCCGGACTATTCGAGATAAAGAAAATTGGTGACGAGTACTTCACATTTGTCACTCAGTGCAAGGATCCTAAGGCCTGCACCATACTGCTGCGCGGTGCCAGCAAAGACATTCTCAACGAAACGGAGCGCAATCTGCAGGATGCCCTTCATGTGGCACGCAATCTAGTGCTTGAACCACGTTTGGTGGCCGGTGGCGGTGCTGTCGAAATGGCAGCATCTCAGCTACTAACCCGTAAGCAGGTGAAAGGACCCTACACTGCCGTGGCGCGTGCTTTGGAGATTATACCACGCACACTGGCCCAGAATTGCGGTGCCAATACTATTCGCGCCTTGACCGCTCTGCGTGCCAAGCACGCCTCTCACACCGGAGACGGAGTCTGTGCCTGGGGCATTGATGGCGAGTCCGGTGAGATTGTCGACATGAATGAGAAGAACATTTGGGAGCCGCTTGCCGTCAAACTGCAGACCTACAAGACGGCAGTGGAGACGGCTATTCTGCTGCTGCGCATAGATGACATTGTATCTGGATCGAAGAAGCGTGGCGGCAACGAACCGACCAATCCAGCAGCCATGGCTCAGGGTCAGGAGTAGGCAGTGAACAACAAATACATTTGTATTAATAATTCTTAATATTTTAATACTTAATTTAACACACAAACACAARCAAAGCGTGTGCACACACATAAACACACRCACACACACAAATGTCTAACATTTCGCCAGTTCCCTCATATACAAAATTCTTGTTGCATTTGCTTTCATTAACAGCACACAAATAAAACGGTAATAAACCAAAAATAACTCAAATATCTTGCTTGCTTAACTGTCTTTTAGATCGTCTGATATTTACTGATATAGAAAGAGAAAATCAAAATTATTGAATTATTAGCTTCCCTTTATTACTTGGTCGTACAAACGCTCATCCATTAGCTTAAGTACCTCGATGCCAATGGACGTAAATTGTGGTTGCAAATAGCGGGCGAACAGTTCCAA